AATTCCCAAATGAAATGAAACTTCAGTATCTTCCAACTATATATTCATTATTTCTTCTTTTTGCCTCTTCTCCATCTGTCTCTTGCATATCACTCAAAATTTGGACTGTACATTCTGTGCAGAAAGGAATTGTTTTTTGCTTTTGTTGTTTTGCAACTGCAGCAGGAATTGCAGCCTTCTAGATATGGTTGAACTGCAACTGTCATCAGTTCTAACTGGCAGAGACAATGATGCAGCACAGCATATCTGAGGGGGTCACATTTTCCTTACTCTGTACTACAAGGATTGAATGAAAAGTAATGCCTCCATTTTCGTAACTCCTCAACAGATGGCAGTACTTGTATGTGGCAGGTACTGGCTTGTTCAGTAGACTCTCCTCTATAGTTCTATTTTGGCAAGAAGCCTTAGGATTGAACGGTTGTGTTGTTAAAGTGCAAAGTATGGAACCCTGCGCAAATGGTCGGTAAACGCGACTTAAGCAATGTGCAGTCATTGAATTCTTGACAGCAGAAGGTGTCACCCCAAAGGAAATTCATCAGAGAATGCAAGCTGTTTATGGTGATTGTATTGATGTGAGTACTGTGTGCCGTTGGGCCACTAAGTTTAAAAATGTTGAGGTGGGAACATCTGACTTGTGTGACAAACAAAGAGCGGTTTCACAAGCAAAAGGTTGACAGATTGATTCAGGATGATCATTGTATCACTCAGAGAGAAATTTCAAGCAAGTTAAAGAGCACATTCTAAGGATTATTTCTACGTTTGATTTATTAAAATATTCCCATCGAAACCCAGGTAACGAAGGTGGAGGCATTACTATATAATGATGAACATGATGAGCCCTTTCCCCATCTCATATATGTGTTTTGCATGTGTGTGCTCTCAGATGGTCTGTTGACTTGTGGAGATCTCATAAATTCCATAGATTTTTTTTTATGATGGTGGTTTTGCCAGACTTTTCTCTGAAATACAGCCAACAGCACTTGATATTGGCAGTCTCCCATCCATGTAGTAACCAGGGCTGTCCTTGCTTAGTTTCCATAGATCAGTGTTTCACAGTGTGTGGGTCCCTGGGTGTTTTGGCCTTCAACTTCCAGAAATCCCAGCCAGTTTTCCAGTTGTTAGGATTTCAGGTTGAGAACTACTGCCATAGATGATGGTTATTAAGTAGTGAAAATGTCATTTAACTCACACATAAGGGACAGTGTTGTTTTACATATTCCAGAGTTCTTCCCTAAAACATTAAAACTGCTTGTAAGATTGCGTTTTTGGAAACTCTTGTTCAGATCAGTCCCTCATAGATTGAATTCCAGTTGGGCAGTAAAGCAGCTACTATGAGTATGTTTTCGTCTGCAGGAAAGGGATTTTATTTATTTCCCCTTCTTCCGCTAACTCATATCCTTCACTTCTTTGTCATCTTAATCTTCTTCCTGTGTACCCATTGCAGCAACATTCTCTAGTGTTGTTTGTTTGCCCTACTTTCTTCAATGGTTGCATAAAGAGAAAGGTCCTTTCTCACACGTGTGTGTGTGTGTGCGTGCGCTATTTATTAGAGGGATTCCCAAAATGTTCTGTTTGTTCAGGGGGGGAAACGAATGTTGAATGTAAACTGTAAAGCAAATGTGAAAAATATAACATTTCAAAAATAAGTGTCATTTATTTATTTATTTATGGCGTTGCTACCCTGCCTTTCTCACCCTGGAGGGAACTCAAGACTGTAAAAGATGGGTGTTAAATTTGTTGTTTCCATTGTCATGACTTGTGTCATGGGTTGTTAAATTTTGTTAGTATTGATGTATTGTTGTTGTATTTGAGCACTGAATGTTTGCCTTTTATGTTTGGAATCTGCCCCGAGTCCCTCCGGGGAAATAGAACGGAATATAAATAAATAAATAAATAAATAAATAAATAAATAAATAAATAAATAATTATTATTTTGCTGACTCAAAAACTGAGATCTATATGCTGGATTTCCTTTCACAAAATCACAAGTCGAACATTTCCCAAGCATCTAGGACTGTTTGATGTTTATTAATAATAATAATAATAATAGTAATAATAATAATAATAATAATAATAATTGTGCTGAGGAGTAAGGGGAAGGGTTTCTTTGCTCAGCATCTGAGTCAGGAACAAGCCTAGATCAGCAGTCTGACAATGAGGAACCCAACTCTGCAGAGCAGGAGCAGCAGCCCCAAGGAGATAAGGATACATGGTCAGGGCAGGATCAGGGCTTCAGGAAGCAACTGAGGAACTAAGTATTCCAGCTAGGCTGCAATTGAGGACTGATGCCATTCAACTGAGGAGATCCAGTCCCAGTCGGTTGGCTGACAGGAGGACCAATCAGTGGGATAACTTGGGAAAGTGGCATAGGTAGCTGGAGGCTGGATCAGTTATAGTGCTGGAAGCAACATTCATGAAATCATTACAGCCTGAATCTCTGCTGGTGAACCTTGATGTTGGTGTGTGGCATAGGTTTTGGCTTGCAGCCTCAGTGTTGATGAGATTTTTTGGCTTTGAACATTTTGGGACTACTCTTTGTCTCATCCTAATTTTGGGTGACTGCTGTGGATGAACTCGGACTGCTTTGAACATTTTAACAGTAATTTAGTGGACAGCACTCTGTGTGCGTTTATGTCATGTCCAACTTATGGCAGCTCTAAGACTAAACTTTTCATGGGGGTTTCATGGTGAGATTTGTTCAGAATGGGTTTGCCTTTGCCTTCTTCTGAGGCTGAGCGATTGCAACTTGCCCAAGATCACCTAGTGCAGTGATTCCCAACCTTTGGTCATCCAGTTGTTTTGGTCTTCAACTTCCAGAAATCCCAGCCATCTTATCAGCTGTTAGGAATTGTGGGAGCTGAAGTCCAAAACACCTGGATGACCAAAGGTTGAGAACCACTGACCTAATGGGTTTCCATGGCTAAACAGGGATTTGAACCCTGGTTTCCAAACATTAGTCCAGTACTCAAACTAATACACCACACTGGCTCATGCGCATTATTCAGTATTGCAATGCCTATCAGAAATTACCTGGCAAGAATTAGCATCTCTGTGTAAAAGGACTGCAGAGGTATACTGGGCAAAAGAGCAACAAGTGTGTTGCTATTAAATCCTCTCCATATCAACACAGAGCTGAAGAAAGTTCTTATCTGGAGTACTATGTACATGTTTCCCTTAATCTAGACTAAAAGCCCTTTATGCAGTCACTGTACTGATTTAGGTCTAGTCTGTGCTTAGATAAGAAACCATAATGTATTCCCAAGTTTACCACTTTAACTTCTGCAGTGGCAGAAAAATGTGGCCAAGTAAACACTAAGTATGTCTTGAAATGAGAACCTTGTGTGATTCTTGCTACCTTCTGGTTGGGAGAGGAATGCAAGGTTCTCATTTCAAGACGGTATGCTGTATGTTGTCAAACCTTCCTTGGGTTCAGTGTTTAAAAGCATGTTTCATAATGGTAGAGCTTGGATACAGTCCTGCTACAGTAAGCGCTTCTAAGTTCCTTTTGAAAGAAGTGTGCCTGAGTTGTGTGTTTATATAATTGAACATTTTAAAATTTGGATAGTTGGAATAATATGATGGTTCATTTGGGCCATCTAGTGGCCAAGAGCAAACTGGATCATAAAGCAGTTGCACTATGTAACAAAATTTGAAAAATGTTCTGGGTTGCTGTGAGTTTTCTGGGCTGTATGGTGATGTTCCAGAAGCATTCTCTCCTGATGTTTCACCCACATCTTTGGCAGACATCCTCAGAGATTGAGGGGTCAGTTCGAAACTAGGCAAGTGGGGTTTCTATATCTGTGGAATGTCCAGGGTGGGAGAAAGAACTCTTGTCTGTTGGAGGCAAGTGTGAATGTTGCCATTGGCCAGCTTGAATGGCCTTGCAGCTTTAAAGCCTGGCTGCTTCCTGCCTGGGGGAATCCTTTGTTGGGAGGCATTAGCTGGCCCTGATTGTTTCCTGACTGGATTTCCCCTGATTTTTGAGTGTTGGTCTTTATTTACTGTCCTGATTTTTGAGTTTTTTAAATGACCTGTTCCTGTTTGAAAGTGTTATTTTCTGTTTAATTGTGTGGTATTTATTTTGAAAGACGTCATATTCCAGAAACTTCTTTTTGTTGCTTCCACAAACTATGTTGGATTGGTTGAGAAACTATGAGATATTCATTGAAAAACTATAGCAAAATGTGCTACAAAAGTTTTTGCAGTTTAATAAACTTTTTCCATGTTTTTTTATAATGGAACCAATTAAGAAATGACATTTATAACCCAGGAACAAAAACTGTGATGTATAGTGTTAATAATTGCAGTTTTTTCATTTTGTTAGAGTGTTCTGTACAATTATATAAAGGAAGGGCTTTGAATAAGAGTTCATAGCAGCAAAACCAGGTAATTTGATGTGAACCTTACTGAACACAGTGAAACTTACATCTGACTCTATCATGTAACATGATTTTTTTTAAAAAAAAATCAGTTTAATAAGCTGTGGTGCTTTCTCTGACCTCAGTGAAATATCAAATCATTTATTTCAGCATTGACCAGTACAGGAAATAGAAGTCACATTTTCATACAAACTTGGTGTGTTTGGTACATTAAAATATAAATATAACTACTGAAGCACAATATGGGTGAGGGAACGGAAGGGGAAACAAGGTGTGACCTCAGTGAAATTACAAGAGATCCAGTTCTCTAGTTATTTGTAGGTCCTCGAGCACAATTCTAGGGTCAGCTTCCTGGAGAAGTATCTTCTCATGTTTTTTAAAAAAGGTTTTTTTTTTACAGGTTTTTTCCATGTGGAAGATCCACTCTAATTGAGGAATGCAAAAGGTCCCAAATGCCACAGAGTACCTCCACTGTAGATCTCAATGAGGTCATGGAGCCAAACTCTTAAAGATACTGAAGTCCTACTATGTGGATACATATTTAAAATCACACCCATGTACTGTGCTTGTTCACTGTAATGAGATTACCTTTCTTAGCTGTTCTGTGTTTTTCTCTCACAGATTATTTGAAAAATCTTTTGGAAGATTCAGCAGATTTCAGAGACACACAAGGTAATTGCTCAATAGTTATATATCTAGATAAATGAAAATGCAATTCTTTTTAAAACTTAATTTGTCATATTTGGTAGGCATTTCTGACATGGGGTTAGATCCATGGTTAAAGGAAAATCTACTTTTGGCTCCCTCTTTTCCTGCAACTCTTTGCATTCTTAAAAGTCTGCTTTGAGAGATTGGGGGATATTCACAATGTGGAAAGGATCATGAGAAAGAAATAGGGAATGGGAACATGGCATGCTATCCACAGTTGGCAGGTCAAAAGACAGCCTGGCAAAAAGAAGAATCCTAGAAGAACCCTTCACCTTGTGCAACTATGGAGTAGAACAAACAACTCTGCATCTGTATGCTTGCCCACTATGCTCTGCCTCACGCACAGGGGAAGAACTGTTTAAAGCTACAGACTATGCAATCGCTGTTGCCCATTTTTGTCTAAAACTATTTAGCTCCCTGTGTTCCCTTTATTTTATCAGTTTTTAAACTTATTTATTTATGCAATGCTTTTGACATGAAATAAATAAATCTGCCTAAAAAGGGAAAAAGTGTACTGTCAGCCAGTAAAGCATATGGGATATCTTCTTATTACTGGGGCCTTTGTGAGTATTCTCCCTCTTGCCGTCTCCTTCTCCCCCCCCCCCCATCAAACTCGTTGAGGGGGGAAAATGTGATGATGATGATGATGATGATGACAATAATAATAATAATAATAATAATAATAATAATAATAATAGTTTTATTTCTTCCCCGTCTCTCCTCATGGCTCAAAGTGGGTTACAGCATTACTAAAGCATAAACAAACACATAATCATTATAAAAGACTCTGTAAACACATATATTAAAACGTATTTACATAAAACACATATTAAAATACACAAAACAAAAATTAGGCATACAGTGATGGATATGTCACTGTCCCCATTTCCACCAAGGTAGAAGTGGGTATCTGGCAGGAAAAACATTTGGTTTTTGAGGATTTTGGTTTTCCAGATAAGAGAGAATCAACCTGTATTGAAGTGTTGGGATAAAACTGCTGGTACTCTTATTCCCCTTCTACACTGCCATATAAAATCCACATTACCTGCTTTGAACTGGATTATATGGCAGTGTAGACTAAAATAATCCAGTTCAAATCAGATAATGTGGATTTTCTGGTTTAAGAATCTGGATTTTATGGCAGTGTAGAAGGGGTCTAAGTGCAAAATAGAGTTGCCAATAGGTGAAATTAAAACAAGCAAACTGGAAGCAATGTGTAATTGGAGGATCTAAAAACTGACTCAGGCTGGATCTACACTGCCATATAACACGGATTATTAAAGCAGATCATCCACATTATCTTCCCTGAACTGGATTATATGAGTCTACACTGAACTGGATTATATGAGTCTACACTGAACTGGATTATATGAGTCTACACTGCCATATAATCCAGTTCAAAGCAGATGTTCTGGATTCTATATGGCAGTGTAGAATGGGCCTCTGGGAGCAAAGGTCAGAATGCTTTTGGAAGCAGAACTGTAGGAGCTGTTTAAACAAATAAAACTTGTTTATTTTGTGAGCCATAGCAGATGTCCTTTTTCTGCAAAGTGGCAAACAAGCAAGTCTAGAGTTGTATATATTTTCCATCCACAATAGACTGAGGAAGTTAAAGTAATTGAAAAGACCTTTGTGGCAACAATGTAACATATCTTAGGCACACATTCATTCTTCCACATCAAGCAACCGCCACACAAAAAAACAACCTTTATATTTAATGTCCTTTCCTGTAAAAGTGTGTTCCCACTCCATCTGTTTTTTTAGAAATGGCAGCTAGGAAACCTATATATAATTTCATGTTGCTGTTAGTCTCACATCTTCCAACAGCTGTTAGTTTACATGTCAGAATGTGTCTCTTTCTATGGGCCAGCTAGGAGGTTAAGATCATATGGGGAAGCCCTGCTCTCGGTCCTGCCTTCTTCTCAGGTGCAGTTGGTGGGAATGAGAGATAGGGCCTTCTCAGTGATGGCCCCTCAGTTATGGAACTCCCTCCCTAATGAAATTAGATCAGCCCCCTCCCTCCTGGCCTTCAGGAAAAGGCTAAAGACATGAATGTGGGATCAAGCGTTCATTTAGTAAACCACGAGATAAATATAGAATAGTGCATGACAATTTGATATCAGATAATGTGATTTTAGATAGTGTTTTAAAGTTTGATGTGTTGGTTTTTAATGATTGTGTTAATATATCTGTTTATTTTACTATATTTATTAATGAGACTTCAAAACCAGGAGCTCCGATTTGTTCTACTTCTAACAACAAAGAATCATAAGTCAAAGATACAGTTTTGGATGTCATGCTACAAAATAATGGATAGAGCACTTTGACTTGTTTTGCTACTTTTTCTGGAAGGAGAGCTCAAGTGGGGAGGAATGAACAAAGATGCTCCAGCAGATTTATTCATTTACAATACCCAAATTTCTAAAGAATTCAAAAGAGCTATGCTTATAATGATATTTTAATATAGCCATGTGTTATCCTTAGTACTGCTGTGTATTAATATGTGTTATCCTTAAAACTGGCATGTGTCAATATGAATCCACAATTCTGTTTTGTTTTTAAGGTGCTCTTGCTATTGTCATAGAGGTGGCTAATCATGCCAATGACATTATGAAACAGGGTGTAAGTATGATCTTAACTATGTACTCTACCATGATTTTAAACCTTTAAGTGTAGGAATATTAGTATTTTAGAACTTTTTGAGATATTTCTCTCCCTGTGTATATATCACAGTTGGAGCTTGCTGTGTAGAAACCATTTGGATGGTTCCTTTATCTGAAATTCATACAGTTGTAATCAGAACCAGGCTGAAAGCTACCTCTCAGAATTCTTGTTTGGGGAACATACAGCTGGTCCATTCACTTTTCATTTTCAAAATGTTTCTAAAGCCTAGTTTTGTAAGTGGATTCTCCAAGTAATATTGTATAATTACCTGCAATATTGAAAATACATATAAAATTAATTGTGTTTTCAAACCCTAATATGTACAAAGGTTATCCAGAAAGTAAGGTTGCAATTTTTTTAAAACAAAAAGGAATGAATATATTTTAATAAAACTTACATGGATTGTAGCATAGGTATTACATTATTTTTTCCACATAATCACTATTCATCAGTATAACTAGTTTTTTGATGCCTGTGTCATAGAAGTCTCCCGTCACCTTTTTCAGCCAGTTCTTCACGTTGATTTTTACCTCCCTCTCCTCATCAGAAAATTGTTTCCACCAAGGTGTTTCTTCAATTTAATGAACAGATGATAGTCACTGGGTGCAATATCAGGGCTGTGAGAGGAGTGGCTTAAAACATCCCAACCAAATGTGTTGCATGAATGGTGTGCGGACGCGCATTGTCATGAAGGAGACAGACTCCCTCCGTCAGCATCTCGCAACGTTTGTTATGGATGGCTCTGCAAAGTTTCTTCATGGTCTCACAATATACTCTGACTGGCACTGCTCATTCACTTCTGCTGGCTTCCCACTACACAGAAGTGATACCAACTTTCCCCAAGAAAATTCCCCACAAGAGCTATGTGCCTTGTAACCTTACTTTCTGGATAACCTTCGTAATTCTTAGTTTGTAGCAACTCTTGTTGTATGTCAGGTTTCATGAAAACATCTCTTCCTTGAATATTGGCTTCAGTAGTACATACTAATACACAAAATATGAAAGTATGAAAGTATTTCCCATAGTTCATTCAGTTAGTTGTCTGGCTGTCTTGTGTTTGGCTAGGACTTTATCTATGCAATACTTCCTATGCTTCTTTGTTTACAATGGCTTTATACCTTCACTCTCTAGGATAACTTTCAGAAGCTTATGCAAATACAGTACAGTTTAAATGGCCACCATGAGATTGTGCAGCCAGGAAGGGTAAGTTCACCAATGGGCTATGATAAGAGGTTACAGGAAAAACAGAGCTTCAAGTTTGCTTTTTGTGATTATCTAATGTGCCAATATAATCTAAATCAGTGGTTCCCAACTGTTGGTGCTCCAGGTGTTTTGGACTTCAGCTCCCACAATTCCCAACAGCTGGCAAGATGGCTGGGATTTCTGGGAGTTGAAGTCCAAAACACCTGGAGGACCAAAGGCTGGGAACCACTGATCTAAAAGAAAGAGAGAAGATACTGTAATTAAGTATGCAATCTTTCTTGTACTGAAGACTGATGCTGCCATTGTATAAAGGGGGGGGGGGAAAGCACTTTATCACTGCACTGTGGCCTAGACAGACACAGGCAGTCCTTGTCTCCCTCCATATATTGTATCTCGTTTTGCTAAACTCTGATGCCTGAAATTGAGTTTCTTTTCCCCTTTTTCCCCATATGGTACTGTGTGTTGAATTAGCAGATTCTTTCTCTTTTGACTTAACAATAGTACCATCATAGTTATTCAAGTTTATTAAAGACCTAAACTTTTTAAATAAGTCCCTCTCTTGTAAAAAGAGCCCATTCTGACATTTACATATCTGCTTGAACATCCAGGTTTTCTTAAAAGAAGGAACATTGATGAAGCTGTCCAGGAAAGTTATGCAACCACGAATGTTCTTTTTGGTAAGTTGCCATGAACATTTTTTACATCCCTAACACTAGAGTGATTTCATAATAATTCAGCCAGTATGCTACAAATATAATTTGGCAACTGGCAATAGCCAACATGGGGATGGGAACCTTCAAGAGGATGTGTCCCATGATGCTATTGAGGCAGAAAACAAACATGGGTTGACATATTAATAATAAGAACAACAACAATTTTATTTTTATATCCCGCCACCATCTCTCCAAGGGGACTCGGGGAGGCTTACAAAGGGACAAGCCTGAAAATTACAAATAAAACAAATTAAAATAAAATCAACAGTAGCAATTAAATAAAAACATATCACAATCTCAAAGTCACATCATAAAAACCGTATCATGGCAGAGAGAAAATCGAGGTTGAATGGTAAATTGGCCACCATCTGTAATTTCCTCTATCCTCTTCTGTACAAACAGAAAGCTTTATGTGGCGTGTACACATTAGTAAAGGTTTCCCCTTGACATTAAGTCTAGTTGGTGTTCATCTCCGTTTCTAAGCTGAAGAGCCAGCGTTGTCTGTAGACACCTCCAAATCATGGGGCCAGCATAACTGCATGGATTGCTGTTGCCTTCCTGCCGAAGCAGTACCTATTGATCTCACATTTGCTAGGTTGGCAGAAGCTGAAGCTAACAACATGAGCTCACCCCCGCTCTGCAGATTCAAACCACTCACCTTCCACAAGTTCAGCAGCTCAGTGGTTTAACCCACTGCACCACCGTGGTTTCCTAGTGTATACATTACTGTACGTTAAATATAATGTGATTTCAGCATGTTACATTGGCCTGAATCTTCGATTACGACACCAGGAGCCCTGGGTTTGAGTAACCTCTCAGCAATGGGCATGCTGTGGGTGACTGTGGGCAAATCATACTCTCCAGCCTCAGAGGAAGACAAAGGCAAACCCATTGCCAAGAAAACGCCGTTATAGGGCACCATAAATCAGAAGTAACTTGAAGGCACAGAATAGCAAAAAGGAACATTTCAATTAATTTTCAAAACCTTTCTGTTGCAGTTTAATGATGCTCTCCTGTATACAACTCCTGTACAGTCTGGAATGTATAAACTCAACAATATGCTGTCACTGGCGGGAATGAAAGTGAGTGAATGAAATTTCTGCCATTATCACATTTGGTTATATGTCACTCCTGTAGTGATGCCGGTTCTCTAACAAATGCTGTTGTGTGCCGAATCTTTGTTGTGGAATATAGTTTTTTAGTTTACTATTAAACATTAATGGAGCTTTCAATCTTTTTCATCTGAGAAGAAGGAAAGAAACTGCTATTCAGTTTGCTGTATTACATTTGCACCCTAATTTTCCACAAGAAGCTTGGATCACAATACATGATCTTTCCTTTAACCCTCACAGCAACCCTGTGAGCAGACTGGGAGAGAGAGAGATTGACTCCAGGTATTCCCAGTAAGTTACATCTTAGTGGAAAGTTGGCCTTTTATATTTCTGTTCTCAGTTCAATGCAATAGCCACTATACCAGGCGTGGGCAAACTTTGACCCTCCAGGGGTTTTGGACTTCCACTCCCACAATTCGGCTGTTAGGAATTGTGGGAGTTGAAGTCCAAAACCCCCGGAGGACTAAAGTTGCCGATTTCTGCACTATACCAAAATTTCACACACATATAGATTCGTTACTATACAAGATATCTAAGAGTTAATTACAAACATGCAAGTCTTTTCAAGACAAGAGTTTGACAAGATAGTGGGTTGAACACATGCAACTTCAGTTCTGTGTACTTCAGTTTTGAAGTGCATGGATATGTGCAGCATTAGTTATTTCAGTAGCTTTATAAATGCTCTGAAACAGTGTGCTAGGATTGATATAGTTAAATCCCTTAGAGATATAATTTACATTACATTTGTTATTTAATCTCTTAGATTAAAAAGTAACCATTTTTTGAAGCTCAACCTTTTTAATACCTTACCATTGTTTCCTCCATTGCAATATCTATGTTTTCTATAAATATTGTGCTGCTCTGTTGTACTTTTCATATTCCCTTGCCAAGCTTTTTGAGATAACTAGTTGATAGAACCTTTTCCCTTTCTGACTGAGCTGTGTATTCTGCTTCTTTCGCAGGTTAGAAAACCAACCCACGAAGCTTACCAGAATGAACTTAATATTGAAAGTGTAGAACGGTCCTTTATTCTGTCTGCAAAGTACGTTATAAAATTATATTTACTTGAGAAACACAACACGATCTCCATTATTTTCTGCTCAACTTATGGACATTTACTCTCTCCCACCCCAGTTCTGCTACAGAAAGAGATGAATGGTTAGAAGCTATCTCTAAAGCAATTGAAGAATATACAAAGAAAAGAATTACTTTTAACCCTAGCAAAAGTCTGGAAGAGGTAGGTTCTCTCTTTGTTTAGAATTTCTCTCTTTCTCTCTCTGTATGTATATGACTGGAGCTACAACATACTTGTTCATATGTCTTAGACCAGTGGTTCTCAACCTGGGGTCCCCAGATGTTTTTGGCCTTCAACTCCCAGAAATCTTAACAGCTGGTAAACTGGCTGGGATTTCTGGGAGTTGTAGGCCAAAAACATCTGGGGACCCCAGGTTGAGAACCACTGTCTTAGACTAAATATTTATTTCACAATGCCTAGCTGGTCCAGTCCACCAGATCTACACATATTTCTATTATTTCAGGATTGCTGTAGTGCTGCATTCTTGCAAGGAAGAGGGTTAAACTAGATACCTTTGTGGTCCTTTTCAATCCAAATACAATATTCTTCAATTTTCTGTGAGGTGGAATGGATAACTGTATGTTTGTTTATAGCCATCCTTCGGGTCCAACATATCTTTGAGACCGCAGCTCTTTCTATGAACCATTGCAGGCTTTGAGATAAACAGGGGAGGCCCTTCTCTTGGGTTCACCACCATCTCAAGCGCGGTTGGTGGGGACAAGAGAGAGGACCTTCTCTGTAGTGGCATCCCCAAAGAGATTAGGTTAGCCCTCACCCTTAACTCCTTCTGATCCAGCCTAAAAACATGGATTTTTACACAGGCTTTTGGCCTCAAGTAGGCTGAAATAGACCCATGTGAAGTTGACACTTTGGGACTTGTGATTTGAAGACAGCTAGTTTTAACTACAGATGGTCGCCATTATAAACTGTGTTTTCATTTTATTTTATGTGTTAATAGTAGTTTTTATAACTTTTATGTGATACTGTTTTTATACTCATGTACTGTTTGTGTTATATACTACACTTGTAGTGCCTTGTAAGCCGCCTCAAGTCCCTCTTGAGAGATAGTGGCGGAATATAAATAATTTATATTATGTATTATGCTGTAGCTATCGTATTACTTTAACAGAATCTTTTAATAAACCTTTATAATAATAAATAATAAACTTTATTTATACCCCGCCACCATCTCCCCAACGGGGACTCGGGCCAGCTTACATGAGACCAAGCCCATACAACAAATTACAATAAAATAAGATACAAGTTACAATAAAATAAACAACATTAATAAAAGCATGTACCAGTTTCTTAGAGGGATGGGCTCTTCCTTGAGAGGTTCAGTTCTAGCTTTGGATATTCTGTATTGATTAGAAGATTGATCTAGAAGGCCTACAAGGCAACATCTAGTTTTGTGATTGTATGATGTGTAACAAGGCAACTTCAAGAAATACCCCTGAAATATGCTGTTCTTTTTTTGATGTAATCATGAATATATGCATGAGGGCCTTCTGTTTCTGTGAATCCCTTTCCTATCCTATACAACTGTATCTATCTTTTATTTATTTACAGTTTTTATATTCCGCCCTTCTCACCCTGAAGGGGACTCAGGGCGAATCACAAAACATACATAAGCGGCAAACATTCAATGCCGTGTTATATGCAACAAGACAGACTATTGTACATACATAAAGGCATTTATATCGGCTTTATCATCTTTGACATCTTGGCGCCTTTGTGTTCGGTTCCAGCCACAACGGGGTGCTGTCGTTCCATCGCCCTGCCAAAGAGCTTTGTTCGTAACTTTCTTCTTTTTGATCGAATTGCCGGCATTCCTTTTGGGTGCCTTAGAATACCACTTCGCTATTTTTAAGTGGTACCTATTTACCTACTTACATTTGCTTTCAAACCACTAGCGAGGCAGAAGCTGGGTTAAGGCCAGGAGGTCACCCTGACCCGGGCTTTGCACTGGCAGCTTTTTGACTGAAAAGATTGACTATAGCTGGCGGTTTGGCCTGCTGTGCTAAAGCCTGGCCCATCTCTTCGTGTGTGTCTGTCTACCAACCAATCGGTCTATAATCTATCACATTTTTCTTCTGCCTTTCTTTTAAGGACTTTAATCTAGCATACATAGTGGTCTTCCTCATTTTATCCTCACAACAACCATATGAGGTAGGATTGGCTAAGAGATAGTAGACTCCTGCAGAATCAACCAGTGGGCATCACATATTTGGGGGTGTGACTTGAGTCTCCCCAGTCCAGTATCAATGCTGATGAGATAAATACACAAACATGCATACACACAGATATAAATTAATGATTTTAATTAATTTATTGGTTTTCACAGTATATTTTTAATACGTCCCATAAGAGTCCCCGGTGGCGCAATGGGTTAAACCCTTATGCCTGCAGGACTGAAGACCAACAGGTCTGAGGTTCGAATCTGGGGAGAGTGTGGATGGGTTCCCTCTGTTAGCTCCAGCTCCCTATGTGGGGACATGAGAGAAGCTTCCCACAAGGATGGTAAAACATTAAACATCTGGGTGTTCCCTGGGTAATGTCCTTTTAGACTGCCAATTCTCTCACATCAGAAATGACTTGCAGTTTCTCAAGTTGCTCCTGACACAAAAAAGTCCCATGTGTAATTCTCTGTTAATGTTTATATACTTTAGATTAAAAATGTATATATTGTGTGCTTTTTAATGTTAGCTGCTTTGAGTCTGCTTCCTTGAGAGTAAAGCAGGATATGAATACTACAAAGAAATGAATATAATAATATGGTTCTAAAAACTACATATAATTTTTTAAAACTGTAAACATGCGAGTTTTTTTCCAAATTGATAATCCTTCTCTTTCTTTCTTTCTTTCTTAGTCAGATCCAGAGAAAGATCAAGAAGATAGTCCTGTAGGATCAAAGGCTCCAATCTGGATTCCTGATACAAGAGCTACTATGTGTATGATTTGTACTAGTGAGTTCACGCTGACATGGAGAAGACACCACTGCAGAGCATGCGGGAAGGTTAGAAACATTTCACAGCCATACTACATCTCTATCATGGAAAATATTAATTTTAGCCTGTTAGCAAGCAGTGAAATTTTGATAAGATTGTACGGAAGTATAATGATATTTGCTGTAACAAATAACTATGTACAAAATGGCTTCAGACTCTAGAATAAATACCTGTTGTTTGTAATAGAGGTCACTGTAAACAGAAAGTTTATCAAATATTAGGCAATCCAATGCTTATTACTGTAGCAAAGAACTAAAGTTTAGTATTGCAGTTAAGCTAAACCATACATTGTATTTCTTAGTAAGAACCGAAATAGAAAAACAAGCCTCATGTCTATATCCGCCATATCTGACCTCTAAAGTATTAATTTCCAAGATGGTTGAATATCTAATGCTAAACCATCAATATCCATAAGATGAATATAATTTTTGGAGTACCATATCTCATTTATAAAGATTTATTCTTAATAGAATAAATAGTTGTTGCATGAAATCTAATTATATTGAAGCATGCAGCTAAGTAATCTAAAAGAACCGTTCAGAAAAATGTTTCTTTTTTCCAGGTAATCTGCCAAGCTTGTTCCTCAAATAAACATAGATTAGACTATATGAAAAATCATCCTGCACGAGTATGTGATCATTGCTTTAAAGAGCTGCAAAAGCAGGGTAAGGACATTTTTTGCTTAACTTGCTTTTCGCTTTTGCTACTTTCAGTTCAGATTTCTTTTCAGGGGCTATAATCCCTGAGACAGAACTTATTTTATTTCATTGCGTCTTGGAGCAGAATTCTTTGAGGATTAAGTGGAACAGAATTAAATTCACAAAGGAAAAATGTTCTGTGTAACGTATATTTTAGTCTTCACTTTGGGGTTCTTCTGAGATGAAAATGTATCTTTTCATTGTTGAAAATGTTTTGTATAATTACAGCTTAAGTAAGTTTAAGTTGTATTTTGCAATCACTTCTTTGATTTATATGGATGACAATGTTTGTAAAAACTATATCCATTTGAGATCGGTTTTTCAGGAGATCTAAAGCCAGCTTAAACAGTTGCTCACAGTAAATAAAGAGCAACACTCAGAAGATGGGAATTCCTGACAGGAAACAATCAGGGCCAGCTAACACCCCCAACAAAGGATTCCCCCAGGCAGGATTAAACTGCAAGGCCATTCAATGCTAACCAACCTGGCCAATTGCAACATTCATACCTGTCTCAGACAGACAAGTTTTTTCTCCCACCCTGGACATTCTACAGATAGATAAACCTCACTTGCCTAGTTTCCAACAGATCTCACAACCTCTGAGGATGCCTGCCATAGATGTGGGGAAAATGTCAGGAGAGAATGCTTCTGGAACATGGCCATACAGCCCAGAAAACTCACAGCAACCCAGTGATTCCAGCCATAAAAGTCTTTGACAACACGGTTGCCCATAATTTTGCAGATACCGTGAATTATTAAAAAGACAAATAAATGTGTCTTCAAACAAAGGAGTCCTGAACTCTATCTGGAAACCAAGACAACTAAACTGGGTCTATTGTACTATTGGCCATAACATGAGAAGAGATGACTCAGTAGAAGCTGAAGTTCATTTCAAAGCTGTTAACAACAATAACAATAAAAATACCATTAGAGACAAATGCACGGTTAGCCTTTAGTATTCGCAATCATTAGCTGAAATTTCTGTTTGTTTGTAACACAAAACAAGTGAAACATTTTTCTCCCATTTAGATCATTTCTGCACAACTCCTAAAAATGGTTCTCCAGTAAACCACAAATCTCCATCTAATGCCTTATCCACAGTGTTGCATAGCATCCCTTCAGGAAGAAAGCAGAAAAAGATTCCAGCTGCTCTCAAGGAAGTATGTGTTGTGTATTTTTAAAGTTATTTGCATTGCAGAAAGTTTATAGTGACTCTTTAGTAAACTTCTTAGCTGGGGATGGGAAATTTCATTGAATTATAAAGTTGGATTGAGACCGCAAGGGCCATCCAGTTCAACCCCATTCTGCCTTGCAGGAACACACAGTCAAAGCACTCCCGACAGATGAGCCTCTGCTTAAAAACCTCTAGTGAAGGTTTTGAATGGAGCAGAATACTTTATTTTGGCCTTTTAAAATAGAATGTTATGGAATGTATGTATTTACTATAAAGTAATCTAGGCACACTCCATGCTCACTAACATTTGTCCTTTCCTCCCATTTTAGCTCTTTATATTATATTGCCTATTTCCCCCTTAGTTAAAAAAAATAATATCTGGACAGCATTGCAGTTGAAACTCTTATCTATCTCTTGAGCTGAATGTAAACATTCACTCTTAATGAGAGATCAAGTTCCCTGGACTCTTTTTGTGCCTGAAACTCGTTCTCTGAGAATCTTATAATATAGAAGTTTGTGGTAGACAGAGACAAAGAAGACCCACAAAAAACTCTATATGATTCTGTAGGCACATTTTATGCAGTGTGTAACTTTTAAATGGATAGCACTCAACCATTTCATTAAAATAGTCCTGGGTATTTATTGCTCATTTGAGATGTTCTGTTGCAATTCAGTTGAATATTTTTCATGTTCGGTTTACTAGGTGGTATATTATTACTTTATACAATTTGATGAAAAGCATTTCTGGAATCTTAAAACTGTTTCCATGCCTGATTACTGAAAAAAGCAACAGATGTCCTGCAGAATTTCCAGACACCAATTATTTATCTAACTTAAATGTGTTTATGTTCCAGTGGTTTCTGTATGAATCCTCTTAGCGCTGCCTTCAATTTCTGAGTTACTTTAATTTCTGATGTCTGTTTAATGTCTCCTGAGAAGTATGTTACGTGCAATACCTGCTATATGCTGTCTACACAGAACATAGATGTCAAAAAGTTGAATGTATGGCTTAGCTCAGCTCTCCCTACTTAATGCCAATTAATTCTTCTATCCTTCTTAACAGTGATAGCTTACAGTGAACATTTTTTTTACAAACCTCTTGGTTTCAAAAACCTCCTTATTTATGGCCTACTGGAAATGAGATATGCTGCAACAGGCTGCTCACACTGAATCATATCTACAATTCAGTTTTATCATCTTTCTGTGATTTCTGTTGATGCTTGGTGAATGGGAATGATGAGAGCTGTAGGGAAGGCTATTATGCAGCTTTAACATAGTTGAGAACCATTACATTGGGAGAAGCATGTATTTAACAAAAGTTAGAGCAGTGCTTCTCATGTTAACTGATATAGGGGACTACAGTTATCCTCTCCCAGATTCCCAGGGACCAGTACCTTATTTGTGCCATTGGCTGCAACTGTCTATTTCTTTCTTGGAAACTCCATGGACCAATAGCCAGTAGTTTATAGGACAGCACTGATCCACAGACCACCACTTTGAGCAGCACTAGGACTGAATACCCTGATCAGGCATAGAAATACAATCATAGAGTTGGAAGAGGCCTCGTAGGCCATCCAGTCCAACCCCCTGCCAAGAAGCAGAAAAATCCCATTAAAGCACCTCCGACAGATGGCCATCCACCCTCATTTAAAAACCTCCAAAGAAGGAGCCTCCACCACACTCTGAGGCAGAGAGTTCCACTGCTGAACAGCTCTCACAGTTAGGAAGATCTTCCTAATGTTCAAGTAGAATCACCTTTCATGTAGTTTGAAGCCATTGTTCCGTGTCCTAGTCTCCAGGGCAGCAGAAAACAAGCCTGCTCCCTCCTCCCTACAACTTCTCCTCACATATTTATACATGGCCCTCATCGTATCTCCTCTCAGCCTTCTCTTCTTCAGGCTAAACATGTTCACTTAAGTCACCCTCCTCTGGGCACATTCCAGTTTGTCAACATCTCCCTTCATTTGCGGTACCCGGAATTGGACTTAATATTCCAGGTGTGGTCTGACCAAGGCAGAATAAAGGGGTAGTATGACTTCCCTGGATCAGACTGTCAGAATTGGCTTTAGCACTTTATTTATCTCTATTTTTCATTTACAATCTTGGGTTGCTCTGATTAAATGCTTGTTCAAATTTCCAGTCCCTTCTTCCAGTAGGATTCCATCTTTAATGTGAGAACAGTGGGGCGGGGTGGTGCTTTATGTATTTTGGTGGATTTGTTGAGAAGTCAGTGCTTGGCATAGAAAGAGATCATAAAAGGTTGTAAAAGATGAAAATAGTAATATAAAAAATAGATACTGGCATATATTTACCTGTAGTAGGAACAAGCAGGTGGGCGATTTATCCCAGGATTTGGGAAGATTGAAACTGAGATTATGTGCCTAAAATGCAGTTTCTCAAACTCTGCTCCTCCAGATGTTTCAGACTTCAGCTCCCACAATTCCTAACAGCTGGTAAGCTGGCTGGGATTTCTGGGAGTTCAAGTCCAAAGCATGTGGAGGAGCACAGATTGAGAAACACTGGCCTAAAAAATTAATAGCTGGGTTATTTTGATATATTTAATAAATTTGTCGGTCTTCCGATTTATGAACAATATATCTTCTCTAAAGTGTGCCCTCAAGCCCTTTTTTCTTTTTAATACAAAAATATATATATTCCTGCAAAACCAAGCTTTCTGTTTCTCTGACAGTACTGTCCCCCATATTTTAGAAATCCAGATTCTGATCTGAGTATTAAAATCTAAGTGTTTTAAACTAGACCAATATGCTAAATAGAAGTATTATGGGACAGTGAGGGAGATTGCTGGCAAAGAATGTAATCATCCTATGCACACTGACCTGGAAATAAGCTCAACTGAAGTTTGTGGAGTTTATTTCTCAGTAGAAATCCATATGATTCTATTATTCTTCCTCATTTTAATAGAAAAGTGTAGTGGTGGACTAGGACATCAGAAGATCAGGGTTTGAATCCTTGCTTAGCCATGAAAACCCACTGGATGACCTTGAACATGATGCTGGAGTTAAGAATTAGACTTATGAGAGGAAGAGAAAGAAATATAGACAGAGCACTGCTCAGTTTGCTCATGCACAGCTTTCACTCTGAAAGACAATACTCCAGACAGGGAACAATTCATTCATTTACTAGTGTGCATACCATTTTTTAAAAAGAGCAAACAACATTAAAAATTATTTTGGATGTCTAGCTTGGAGTCCGTGTGTCTGGCTCCACTCCTGCAGTTTTAAAAGGCCAGACCAAGATGCCAGATAATAAAAGATGCAAGATGCAGACAATAAAATGTATTGACGAATGACTGGTAGCTGACTGTCTGACAGTACCATATTTTCTTTAATTGTAGGTATCTGCCAGTATAGAAGATTCTTCAATGAGCGGCTATTTGTACAGATCAAAGGGTAGCAAAAAGCCATGGAAACACCTGTGGTTTGTGATAAAAAATAAGGTGCTATACACATATGCTGCTAGTGAGGTAAGAAATCAAAACTTGCATGCCAAGCTTATAGAGAACGTTTCATAGAGAAATGGGAGAAATGTTGGGGTTAAAGTTAAAATCTGAGGTCAAGTTTTGACACATATATTTGAGAAAGTCACTACTGAGTTTTTTCAAGGACTGATATGATGATGAAAAGTGCCTCTGACAGCACAAAACAGTAAGATGGATTTCTACAAAAAAGCTTAATGTTTAGACCTCTAAAAAGTTCTTGCTTTTTATTAGTTCTTCACATCAAAGCTAGAATTTCTCAGAAACTGGATGTTTTGGAACTAAAACCTATTCATTAGAACAAACTATGACAGACCTATTGAATCAGTGTGATTTACTTATGCGTCTACTCAACATTCAACAATTCACCCAATTGATTTCCTCTACTTATTATTCCTGATGTTGTTATTATTCCTGATGTTGTTTGTTACTTTGTAAGGCATTGAATGTTTGTCTGTTTAGTGCAGTCCTTCGAGAGAGAGATGCGGTATAGAAATAAAGTTTTATTATTATGTCTGATAGGACTTAGACTATAATCCAACTATAAATAAGCAGCAAAATGAATGAATAAAAGAGGTTAAAACTAGGCTTGTGCAGTTTGGCTGGAGGGTGATCCATTTTTGGTATCCAAATTTCATTGGGTACCCAGGTCCGTTTTTGGGAGGCTCCCGAAAATCAGCTAATGAAAGAAATCTGTTTTTGGCTAGGCAGCCAAATGATCCGGCTCACTGGCGGGAATGGGGAACTTACGAAGTTCCCCTTTCCATTCCTGGGATCGTTCCTTTCAAGGGGGCCTGGGTTTGAGGAACTGTGATAAGGAAGCATCCTTCCTGGGCTCTAAGCCTTTCTTCCATTCAAGGGAGTCTGCGCTTGAGCAGCAGGGTCAAAGAAGCACCTTTCCTGGACTCCTATTCTTTCTTCCTTTCAAAGGAACCTGGGTTTGAGGGACACGTTTAAGGAATCATGCATTACATGCTCCCGAATAGTAAGAGAGAAGCAGCGCCTGGCAGCCACGTGGGCTGTTTCGACCGAAAAAAACTTGGTGGCTGAGCCCTTACTGTTATGGCCAGTTGAACAAGCTGGATAGGCCGAAGGGAACCGACCAAACCAAACCTGTGCACAATCCTAGTTGAAACCGGAGGTTCCCTCTACTCATGGAAGTGTTCTTTGGGATCCATTCCAAAAATTGCATTAAGTTTGCAGGAAATGTTTTGGGTTTGTTTGGGTTTTTAAATACACAATTGCAACTATAGCTTACTGTTCAGGTGGTCAAAGCTATATCATGTCTCACTCTAGATTATTTTGGAAAATTAGGATGTAGCTGCTTTGGAGAGCCAGCCTTTATTGGGATTTACAGTTGCTGAAGTCAAAGATGAACACTTAGATTCTAAAGTTTTCCACCTGATGCACAAAAATACTTTGTTTTACATATTCAAAGCAGATGATCCCCAGTCAACGCAAAAGTAAGTTCCCATTCTTTGATTAAACCTTGCATGTTCAGTAGGGTTTAGGGATTATATACAAGCAGTTTTGAGTTATATTATTTATCTGCATAGTTTTTCTTTTTGCACAAGCATGATTTCACTAACCCATATTAAAACAGGTCAGTATAAATCACAGGAGAATTTATGACCACTATTGTTGGTCTGCAATGTCTATCAGCATAACTAGATAAAGAGGAGAGATGTTGCAATCCAACATCTGAAGGCTCACACATTGCCTATTAAGTCATAGAACAAGATCTCACAAACCCATTTTTCAGATGTAGTGCAAAATAGAGAGATGTAACTGTAGAATGTGGTTTCAAACAAACTTTGTCCAGGATCCAGTCATGTACTTCTGGATCCCTGCAGTCGCCCATCCCTCATATTCTGCTCACCCTAAAATTTATTTCAGAATACTCTGAAATCCTTTAAAAATGTATTTAGCATGACAAAAAGCTACAGTGGGAGATAAAGACCTAATTCTGCTGGTATTGTATTTTATATGTTTCCAAACACATAGATATCCACCATTTTAACTTGAGAATATTGAAAACCATTTAATAACAGCTGCAATGTGGTTTTGATTAAATGGTACAATTTCTCACTAATGGTAAACTGAATGGGGTAACAGAACATGCTAATGGAAGTATTCAACTAAAAATAATTTTATTTGATTTCCCACGGGGAGATAGGGCAGGATATAAATAAAGCTTTTATTATTATGTGGTCACAAGAAAGTAATATTTCTTTTTTTTTCCAACAGGTGGATAGAAGCTTTTCAAGAAGCCACAATATTGTAACTTGGGTGACGGTGATCTTCGTCTAAAGAAAAAATGTCAAATGACACAAGTTCATATTATAGGAGATTCAGTGAATTTTGTAAACATGAACCAATACAGTCCTTGCTTATACATTGGAGTTAGGAGACCTTGCCTCTTTTGTTCAGGCACAGTAATTTTAAAAGTAATGTGTATACTTGTCTTTTGTCATACAAAAGGTGTTATTTATTAAACTCTGCCACTGTTTTATTTAATGGTCAAAATCATTTCTGAAATTCACATTGAATTCCATAGTGTCCTTGACCTTGGATTTTTTTACTTTTATGTTGCTGGTTCAAAAAACTAGTTTCTGCACGGTTGTCATCATTAGTGTCACACCTGCTGTTGAATTTCTTTTTGATATAAAAGCACATTCATTTTACAAAATCTATTATAAATTTACAGAAATGTTATACACTCTGTCATGATGTAAGGTGAATTTATAATTTATCTGAAGCTTTTATATATTTAGAAACTTGCCTCACCTTTCAGTTGTCCTGACTTGGCAGAAACAGTCCCAATTAATCCTTTATTATCCAACATTTTCAGGTGCTTTTTAATACCTCAGTTTTTGACTTAGAATCATAGAATCACTGAGTTGGAAGAGACCTCATGGGCCATCCAGTCCAACTCCCTGCCAAGAAGCAGGAAAATTGCATTCAAAGTAACCCCGACAAATGGCTATCCGGCCTCTGTTTAAAAGCCTCCAAAGAAGGAGCCTCCACCACACTTTGGGCAGAGAGTTCCACTGCTGAACAGCTCTCACAGTTAGGAAATTCTTCCTAATGTTCAGTTGGAATCTCCTTTCCTGCAGTTTGAAGCCACTGTTCCATGTCCTAGTCTCCAGGGCAGCAGAAAACAAGCTTGCCTCCCTCCTCCCTATGACTTCCTCTCACATATTTATACATGGCCATTATGTCTCCTCTTAGCCTTCTCTTCTGCAGGCTAAACATGCCCAGCTCTTTAAGCTGATCCTCATGAGGCTTGTTTTCCAGACCCTGGATCATTTTAGTTGCCCTCCTCTGGACACATTTGAGCTTGTCAACATCTCCCTTCAACTGTGGTGCCCAGAACTGGACACAATATTCCAGGTATGGTCTGGCCAAGGCAGAATGGAGGGGTAGCATTCCTTCCCTGGATCTAGACACTATACTTCTATTTATGCAGACCAAAATCCCATTGGCTTTTTTTGCCACAGCATGACATTGTTGGCTCATGTGTAACTTGTTGTCCACGAGGACTCCAAGATCTTTTTCATACTGCTGTCGAGCCAGGCATCTCCCATTCTGTATCTTTGCATACAGACTTCCCATTTTCCACCTTTGACCTCATCTTATTTTAGTTGTTACAAACTGACCTCAGCATTCATAGATTCCAGCTTTCCCACTTTTGGCAGGGACAATCCCATGTCATCTTTTCCTGTCTCACTTTTTCAGCTGTCCTGGTTTCTCTGTCCTCCTCTCGCATCTTCTCTTACTTGGATTGTTACAAACTGAGTTTAAAATACAGAATTTGTTTGCACTCAGCAGGCGGAGAGAACAGCATCTTGTCTTTCCCCATACATTTGGGCAAAAGCAAACCACTGCATCTTCTCTTAGCTTCCTCATTGATTTGCCATTTTGACCAAATGATTATGTTGCTTGGCAAGATGTGTACCAGTTTCATCTGAAATGCTGGAGGGTATGAAAAATGCAGGAGTCTTAACTCCTCAGTGGGGTGTGTAAGTATTTGTGGTGAAATCTTGGCTTCCCTGTAAATTCGGGAAAAATGCAAACAACTGCTATCCTTCCTGTCTTTTATGTTCTTCCTCATTATTAACGGTTACCATCTTGACTGTACACTATTGTTGCTCAGCCACGTGTCCTAATTTACATCAATACAATATTGATGGGTATGGTTTACGAACACTTAAAACTTTAAAAATGATTGCATTCTATATGTTCAAAATGTATTTCTGAATGATCCTGTAACAGTCAGTCATGATTAATAGAAGTGTTTCTGAAGTGAAATGGAAAACACAATCCTAAATGGTCCATGAATTTCCTGCATGGCATTCTGGTATCACAAGATGTTTAGACAGAAAATCATACACCTAAATCCAGTTGTTAATCACAATTAAAGATCAATTTAATCTATGGAGCACACTTAAATGTATATCAATATACAACAGCTGAGCTGGGACTAAACATGGATTTATGCCACAGAGTAGTAAAAGAATTAATCATAGTAGTAAAAGAGTAGTAAAAGAATGGTTATTACCATACTTGAGTCAATTGGTGAGGTTTTTAAGAAAAGCTTGAAAGGATAATCTTTATGTTCCTCTTGTGCCATAACAGCCTATGTCATTATACCAAAATGTTTAAATGAATATGCAACATATCTTTTTAAAATAGTAAACTAGATCACTCAAACAAGCCTTGCTTTCACTTATACCCAATCCTCCTGAAGTGAACACCACATTTCATGTACACAATATAGAATATGACACCAAAGGAAAACATTTTTTGAAATCTTTGAAAATAATTGCTGAAACTGGCATTGTGTAACAAAATATACAGTATTTAAGGGTGGATGGAAATCTTGTAACATTTCAGATCTTATTGGATTAAGCTCCAAGCATTCCTCACCACTGATTGTATTGTTTAGGCCTGCTAGGAACAGCAGTCCAACATAATGTGATGGGCAACATGATCCCCACCCCAAGTTAAGAAAATGAAATTTACAGGGAATGTTATTTGATTCCTACATTAATAAGGGAGTTGGAGTAGATGGCCTTATGGATACCTTTCAACTATAGGATTTTGTGCTTCAATCTAATTTCCAAAACATAATATATTCCATTAGGGACATAAAGCATATCTTCATGTAGAAAAAATATATGGAAATACACTATTGAATTACCATAGGTATCATGCCATACTTTGAGGTTACATACAGAAAAAAATTGTATGCTTTTGTTTTGTTTTTGTGATGCAAAGCTGGTGTTACTCTTGTTATTCAGTCATTTGTATCTCATCTTTTCTCCAAGGCAGTTTACACAATTTTGATTACAAAATACAGTGGGCTGTGCTGGAAAAGCAATTAATGTCATGTTGCTCAACTTGATGTACTAATACACTACACTACAATTCAAATGGTTTACTCTGCCTTTAACTGGTGGAACTAGCTCAACTGAGCATAAACAGGACTGCACAATATGTGACCTTTCAGATTTTGGTGGACTGTAAATGTCTGTAACCTTGCTAGAATAGCTAGTGGTGAGAGATGATGGGATTATAGCTCAGCACCTGAAAGTCCACACATCCTCTATCAGCAGTGTATCCTGTATGTTCTGTTTAAAAGAATGCAGAAGTTGCCTCAGAGTGACATAGAATATATTTCCCCCACCTAACATCATAGTACAGTCAGCCCTGTGGGTTTTACTTTTATAGATTTGTTTATTCATGGATTTGATTAATACATTCTCTTTAGGAACCTCTAGGTCTGTCATCACATCTCTGCTGGAAATTGGTGAATTAGATTTGCACTGGTGGATCTAGAGCCCTGGTTCCCAACATGGGGCATATACTCCACAGGGGGGAAATTTGCTTTTGGGTTGTTGTTGTTCATTCGTTCAGTCATTTCCGACTCTTCATGACTTCATGGACCAGTCCACGCCAGAGCTCCCTGTCGGTTGTCACCACCCCCAGCTCCTTCAAGGTCAATCCAGCCACTTCAAGGATACCATCCATCCATCTTGCCCTTGGTCGGCCCCTCTTCCTTTTTCCTTCCATTTTCCCCAGCATGCTTTTGGGCCGGGGGTCAATTCAAGAATGAGTTATTAACAGTGATTTATTTTTTTTTGGCATTTCTTATGGTCTCAAGGGCCTCGTATACAGTATGTATATTTATATTGTGAGATACACATTTTTGAAATTAAAATTAGAATGTACATGGCGGTCAGCTGTTGACAATGGATGGAGAAAAGCCCACTCATAGAGAGGAGTACAGAGAGCTAACTAGAGTGAACTAGAGAGTGCAGGAGCACAGAAAATGGAGGCCACTTTCATTCCAAACACCCCACTCATCACAGTGTTCTTTTAACATTATAAGCTCTACAACATATATTTAAAAAGTTTTTTTCATTCTGCATATGAATGTAATAAAATGTGAAAAATCCAAAGCACAATTATTACTTTGATAGGTAAGTCAATATTTTTGTATGAAAAAAATAAAAGAAATATTATCACCACAAGGAAATTAACATCAGGTGACAGGATATGCTCACATATTCTCACCAAATTAAGTTGGACAATTAAGTTACCCTGAATTTGATGCAGGTTACTCAAATCAATTTGTTGCTTTATTTTTCTCTTTCACGGATTCCATGATCTTTGGAAGCTTGTTTAGACTAAGTTAATGGCCCTTTAGGCTTCCTCCATGTGTAATAAGAGTTCATTTTTTGAATAAGAATTATATGTCACTGGGGGGAGGGGGGTGTCAGGATTTTAGAGATGCTTAGGTGAGGCAGGGCAAAAAAAAAAGTTGAGAATCTCTGATCGAGAGGTTCCTAGGGAGGTGTTCTCACATCTTTTAAAATGGGATTTTAATTATTTGTGTTTTTCCTGTCCCCCTAGTCCAAGAGAATATGGAGGATTGACTGTAATACAAAATTTTCATGAGCAGTTTAGACTGAAAGCATAATTCTAGTGACATTTTGGAAGTCAGAGCTTCGCTTGAAAGGCATCCAACACATAGGAGCTTTAAAAATGTCTAGTGAAGATAAAACTATAGATAACATTCCATATAACTTGTGCTTAGAATAATGTGGTGACTCACAAGCTGAGGGCTTCTGCTGAACCATGATATTTTCCTTTGAAAGTATGCATATAGTTCCCTTTGATGATTACCACCTCTTCCTCCCAAAAAGAGAGACCTTTCAGCAATTCTCCTTGGATTGAGATAGAACTAATGTTATGTTTGAGGAGACTGCATGCATTTTCTGAATACTATACTTATGAGCAAGTTCTGCTGCATAGCTCTAGTTTAGACCTTTCTTCAAGGTACGTGGCACCAAGGAAAGTGATAAGGAGAATATTATAGTTAATTTAAATAGTATTAAGAAGCAGACATGAACGTCTAAAATACAGAACTGAATAAATGAAATGTTAAGCAGTGAGTTGATGAGTAATTTCCATCAGACTCACTTTCTTCCATAATGAACATTCACT